CTCCCCAAGGAATGCTGAAGCAAATGTAGCCATCTTTGGACAGTTTTTTGCTTTAAAACTCGTCAAATTTGCACACTGGAATGTGCAACTTCCAACATAGAAACTTGTCAAGTCTGAACAAGACTTCAGAATAATCGTGCTCAAGTGAGGGAGTATTATCTTATTTTCTGCTCCTTCCTCCATTATCACTGCTTCCATTATTGTGCAATTTTCTACTTCCAACAGTATGAGGCTCACAAGGCTCATGACCATAGAGGGGGTAAACAGGTATCGCAAGTTGGTGCAGTGACAAATGTCCAGATGGACAAGGCACCTAAAATCTAAGATTTGAAGGCTACTGGTATGCCAATTTTGAATCAGTTCAGGAAACTCGGAGAGGCTCAAAGCCATCAAACCAATAAATCCAACCTGCCAAGTCCAAGAAATTAATTGCTAATTATAACACAAGAAACCATTAGTAAATTAACAGAGAAAACAACAAAAAGAAAACAGAATAGGTGACTTCAAGCTTGCATTTGATAAATTTTTATGAATCAATTCATACCTTTTTCTTATACATTCTTTGTGTGGTGGCATTGAGATCACCTTCCATATTCCACAATACCCCTCCCTCTACTTGCAGCAGTCGTGGTGTTTTTGGGACTCTCTTGGAGAAGATCTCCAATTTAGGGCATTGTTTCACAATTAGTTGCTCCAGATTTGGGAAATCAAAGATGAAATTCCCAGAACAGAAGCATGCTAATCTTATCAAAGTTTCAAGTTTCAAATATCTCAAACTACTGAAAATGATGGGATCTTCTGTCAAATCTCCTTGGCTTCCAACTATTTCAGTCAGCTTAAGGCAATGGCCCACCGTCATACTCTTTACATTCACCAGGCTTTGGACTGTTGCAACTGAAACCAAGTTCTCCATGTTATGGCAACCCGCTACAAACAAAGTAGTGAGATTCTTGAATGATGTCGTGGATGTTGATAAACTAATCAAATCATCACCGCAAATCACTTTAAGTGTTTCAAGATTTGGAAGAACACTTGACGAGTCTCCGCTCCAAACATGCTTGAGATTAGTAATGAATTCCAGCTTTAATGTTTTAATCCTTGAGAATTGTGTCTCAAAGTGTTGCTGTTCTTCTTCTTCAACCTCTCCATGTCCATGTGAGGGGAATAACTCTTCGAGAGAACACTCGGTTAAGACAAGTTTTTCCACATTGTAGAATCTCCGGAAGAAGCTGATTCGAAAAATAGCCGATTCACCACCAATGTCATGAGAAATCCGAAGGACTTTTATATTGAAAAAGAAGTCTCGTTTAAATCGGGATTCTCTTATCATATCGATGTCATCTTTTGACAAGGACAATTTCTCCAATTGAGGAATGATCTGGAAAGGAAACCAGTTCAACAAAAATATGAAAAAGATCAGAAGATCATTAACTGTGCTTAATGGGATCTCATAATAACTAATGCTAATGGCCCGTTTTCTCGAGAAGGTTGGGAAAGAGATAGAGTTGACTAATGACTATTGAGAGCCGGACATGGCTTGTTCAATATAGTGGTGAGCTGGGCCCTCTGGTCCCTGAATACCAACTGCGACTGGGTTGTATACGTAAGGAGGAGGATAGGGTGTATAAGGCTCATTGGGCTGATGGTGGGCCTCCTTTAAAACATGAGGCCCGAGGACAAACAGAAAGTTGAGTCGTTTTCCTTTTTATTTTTTGGGCTTTGGAATAATTAATTTACATACAGTTAATTTGTGTTCTAACAAATTCATATTTATTATCTTTTAATATTTAATTACATGTGCAATAGATTTAAAAATATAATGAAAAATCAAACTTAAGTGATAAAAATAAAGTTAAAGAGAAAAAATATTTGTCTATCTTGAAATTAAATAAAAAATAATTAATTTGAAATAAATTTTTAATAAGGAACAGATGGAGTACTTAATATATTTACTTTTGATTTGTTATTTTCATCCTATAATTTATTGTATATTCATTTGAAAAGATTAAAACTTTTGCCAAAGCTCCTTCCTTGCTTCTCTTTATTTTTTACTTCACTTATTCAAGTGGGGAGAGGCAGGGGATAGAAGAGAAAATGAAAGGATCTATTTCTCCCAACCCAAATATACCCCTAGTAAGTATCCTACGTTTAAGCAAAAAGCATATTTTGACCCAAGCGTTATTTATCTAACAACTGAAGGTAATAACATGGCTCGTACCTCTTTCATGTAGAAAAGTGGCTGTCCAACGGGGAAATCTGGTCGCCGTTGCCCATTTCTTATCTCCACTTCATCAACACAGCCACAGTCAAAAACATCCAACTTTTTTAACTCTGGCCAAAGCGTTGTGTGTTTTCCTGAGTAAAAATATCTGAGTCTTTCCAGCCTTATAAGTTTGAGATTTGACAGTCGAGGAAACACAAACTTAACCCCTGCTTCTGTTCCTTCACGTCCCATTGTAACAATTTGCTCCACCCCACAACTCTCTATTTGTAGCTTTTGGAGTTGTTTAAGGCCTTTGGCTACTGAAATTGGAAACACACTTTTGATATTAGGACAGTTACAAACAACCACCGATTCCATATTATGAAAAGTGAGAATTTCTTTGGGATCCTCATTCCACACATGCTTCAAACTCGGTAGATTACTAATCCACAAATTTCTCAGCGGAGTCTGTACTGATTCTTTGAGGTTTATCTCTCCCACTTTAAACACCTCTTCTACCGAAGCACAAGAATAAATTTCTAACTTCTCCATGGATTTAAAGATGCTTCC